TTATTTCCTAACCGTTAAAACAATAGAGAATTTCCTATCAATTCTCTATATCCTTACGGAAATCATCAATAATTTCCGCGACAAATCAATTGTGTATTTCATTGACTAATGTTTTGGTTATCATTATCTGCATAAACAGTAAAAAACGATGACTTAAATAGCAATCCTTGCACTTCCAAAGAGACGTGTAGTGAATGTATAACAGCGAACCCGCAGTGCGCGTGGTGTATGAAACGTGGTAATTTCAGTTACCATCGATGCGATTTCCTGCACCGGCTCTCAGATCAGGGCTGTTTCGATCAGATTTTCTTCCCGAGTCCTTCGTTCACTCCACTGCTCAACGAAGACCTCTCCAACAAGACATCGGAGGACAGCGATCCCATCCAATTGAGGCCACAGAGAGTGCATCTCAAGATCAGGCCTAACCTGCCATACAATGTTCACATTCAGTTCAAACAGGCGCTCGACTATCCCGTAGATCTCTATTATCTGATGGATCTCTCAAAGTCTATGGAAGACGATAAGGAAAAGTTGGCACAACTCGGCAACCAATTGGCTGTCAATATGAGAAAGATTACATCCAATTTCCGGTTGGGTTTCGGCTCTTTTGTCGATAAGGTTGTCATGCCTTACGTCAGTACTGTTCGCGAAAAGTCAGTATTCATTTACTCGGCAACCAATTGGCTGTCAATATGAGAAAGATTACATCCAATTTCCGGTTGGGTTTCGGCTCTTTTGTCGATAAGGTTGTCATGCCTTACGTCAGTACTGTTCGCGAAAAGTCAGTATTCATTGCACTATATTTACTAACCATTTAAAATTATTAAAACGATCATGATTAAAATATTATTATTATGTTTGCAAATACAGACTGGACGAGCCGTGCACTGGATGTGCCGCACCGTATGGTTTCCGAAATCACATGAAACTGGACACTAATGCTAATGAATTTGTGCGAAAAGTGGGCGAAACACAGATATCGGGCAATTTAGACGCACCGGAAGGCGGTTTCGATGCCATAATGCAGGCAATTGTTTGCAGGAATGAGATCGGATGGCGAGAAAAGTCGCGAAAAATGTTAGTCTTTACGACGGATTCTGGATTTCATTACGCGGGCGACGGAAAGTTGGGCGGAATTGTTAAGCCTAACGACGGAGAGTGCCATTTGGACCGATCCGGTCTCTACACTGAGAGCACGACCCAAGACTACCCGTCGATTAGTCAAATTAATCACAAAGTGAAAGACCACCATGTTAATGTCATTTTCGCCGTCACCTCCAATCAGTTCGATATATACCGACAATTGGCCGAAGGCCTCAACCCTCTCATCGAAGGCTCGACTGCCGGTAAACTAGAAAACGATTCGTCAAATATCGTGGATCTCATTCAAGACGAGTACCTGAAGATCACGTCCGCCATTGAACTGAAGGACAACGCGACGGATAACGTGAAAATCACTTACTATTCGTCGTGTCTTAACCAGAAGAAAGAGGAGACAAAGATATGCCGTGGGCTTAGAGTCGGCGACTCCGTTACCTTTGAGGCGAAGATCGAAGTGACTTCTTGTCCGCGAAATCGCGGCGAATGGAACCAAACTATACTCATATATCCGGTCGGTCTGAACGACGCCCTTATCATCGATTTGGAGATGATTTGCGAATGCGATTGCGAGAAGCCGTGGAACGAACAGACCTATAGTCCCTATTGTGAACACAGGGGTACCTATGAGTGCGGCATCTGTTCCTGTAATGACAACTTCTACGGCCGTCGCTGTGAGTGCGACGCCAAAGAAGCGAATCCCGCCGAAGAGGAACAGTCGTGTATTCGCGGAAACGACACTAAAGTGTGCTCCGGAAGAGGCGCCTGCAGGTCAGCAAATCTGGACATTGATTGTCAGTTATAGATAACATAGAAATATAATGAATGGTTTGTTATATTGTTGCAGATGTGGTGAATGCGAGTGCTATAAACGGGAAGCGCCCGAAGAGGTGACGGGAAAGTTCTGCGAATGCGATAACTTTAGTTGCGATCGGTATGACGGCAAAGTGTGCAGCGGACCCGATCACGGCAAGTGCGAGTGCGGCACTTGTCTTTGCAACGACGACTGGACGGGACCCGACTGTAGCTGCAAGAAGTCCAACGAAGACTGTGTGGATCCGCGCACTAACAAGGAGTGCAACGGCAGAGGCAAATGTGTTTGCGGGCAATGCATATGTGAGCCCAAAGGCGACGAACAATACACGGGACAGTTCTGCGAAGACTGTCCTACATGTAAATCCCAGTGCGAGATATACAAGGAGTGCGTTCAGTGCCGTATTCATCAAAGCGGGCCGTTGGACGAGGAGGCGTGCAATCAGTGTAACATCAATCCCATCGGCACCTCTGAGTTCGAGGTGACAGACGGGGAACAGCTCTGTGTCTTCATCGACGACGACGATTGCAAATTCCAATTCAAATATAAATACGAAGAGAAAGAGGATCTCATTTACGTGATCGCGCAGAACACGAAGGACTGTCCCGAACCGGTCGACGTGTTGGCCATTGTTATCGGTGTGATTGTGGGCATCGTTCTCATCGGTTTGGCGTTACTTCTCATTTGGAAACTATTGACAACAATTCACGACAGAAGAGAGTTTGCGAAGTTTGAAAAGGAGAGAATGATGGCTAAGTGGGACACTGTATGTATTGCCCACTCATTTTGGCACTCATAAGCACTTTTAACCCCTATTTATAGCTTTATTTTTGTTTTTCGATGTCTCTAATGAATGGTTTGTTGTTTAGGGCGAGAATCCAATCTTCAAACAGGCGACCACTACTTTCAAGAATCCCACATATGGTGGCAAACAGTGATAATAATAACGAAACGATACACTTATTAGATTTGATTAATAATCTCAACAAAAAAACATATTTAGAAAATTTAATATTTTTCTTGTGTTCGAGACTGAAGTCTAAACAATTTAATTGATAATAACGTGTATATTAGCCGACAATATGTTTGTGTGTTTTATTTTCTGTTGTTGTGTAAGACATAAGTGTTATAAATGGAGAACTCCTTAACTCATAGTTAACGCATATTATTGTTATTATTAGTGAAGACTTATTTTGGTGTCGACTAAAAACCTAAAAAACAGACTTATTTCCGATAATAACACTCGTATACAAAACACACAACGAATTTGCCTTAAAAATTAAGTGCAAAACTGTCCTAAAAATTACTCTCATTTATGAAACGGTGCCAAAAGAGGGGTTGCGCTGGAAGTGATGGCACATACGTCTGGCCGTCTGCCTCCAGAAGATGACAAAAAACCACAATTCATTAACTTATTATCTCTATTGATATACATTTGAATGGTTTCGTAACTCTCTTTGTATTTCAGACGACTATTAATATATTTTGAATGAAATCTGAATTTTTAAGCTTAAAATTGAGTCCATATTCGTAGTGACAGTATTTTCTCGTATATTATTCTCATTATAATATACTTTTTTCAACGAAAAACACATTAATTTAATTTCATATTTAATTTAAAATAATTCTGTCTCTCATTCTTTTGGATTATATAAGAGTTTCTATATTTTCAGTTTAATTAAAGTAACAAAACACACAAATTTTGTGCAATTAATTGAGTTTTTCCCCCTTTTATTGCAATCATTTGATTCTTTTGATAATTGATTCGCTGATAAAATACTAATCATTTATTATAAACAAAATGTAAAATTTATATAAAAAACTAATTTAAAATTTAAAGTTTATATATATTACTTAACTTATAATTATTAGCTTATATTATACAAAGTAAATGATTTACAAATAAAAATATAAATTTTTAAAAATCGTATAATTGTTGTAAATATATTTTTACCTTTTATAATTTTACTAAATTTTAAACAAATTTTTACATTTAAAAATATTTTCAAAATTTAAGTAATAATTGAGTTCTAAGTTATAATTAAATCAAAAACAATTTTGAAATGTATTTTTCATGAAACGAGACAAAAGTTGGACTAACAGTACGTTAGAGAATATAAGCTTTTGATAGAAAAACAGTAAAAAACTTTTGGTCTCAAGAGTTGGTGTGAGGGAAGGGAATAAAGTATTGGATAATTATTTGCTGTAAATCTAATTTATGGCCCGAAATGTTTAGCGCATCGATTCCTATGTCTATAATACACAACACATACAGAATATAACGTTATATATAATATATTTTTGGGTGTTTTCCTACAAAAATACGTATTCCTTCCTTCACTCCACCCAATCCTCACATCAATTACTTATGTTTTTAGAGTCAATAATATCCCGAAATTTAATTATGCAAATGTAAACTTCTGTTATGGATATTATCGGCAATATTACCGAAAACAAAGAAAAAATTATCCACAAAACAATGATTTACTTTATTTTTTGCATCATTTCTGTCCAAATCTTTATTATTTTTTAATGAGATTTTTAATTATTTTTTGTGTATTTTATTTTTTGAGAACAATACCTATTTTTATCACTTTAAATGCATTAGATTTATTCATAAAGCCTTTTATATCCATTTAAATATTATATCATATTATCAAATAAAACACAAAAACAATGAATACAAACCCCGAGCAGAAAATCTAATAATAATCGACGAAAACATCGTTTGCTTTTGTGACCAAAACTATAAAATTGATGACTTTTTTCCTAAAACCATGAGTTAAACATGGATTACACGAACGAAACAAAACCAATGCAAACCTAAAACACCTGCTCTTTGTTTTTGTTAGCCATCAAAACATATTCTCTTCGCTATTAGTTTTAACACCGATTTTTATATTACAAAAGATATTGTTTAGACATACTATTCAAACAGTCATTTAGCGGATGAGAGCCGGCATTTCACTGCAAACTAATTGGCAATCGTTGTCACAATTGTCTCCAAGTTTATAAACTATTTTTAAAAGTGAAAAATTTCCTACAAATGAAATAAATGAGTGGATATTGTGTTAAACGTAATAATAAAAACATTTAGATAATGCTAGAAATGCCAAACTTATACTGTAATACCAAAATAAAATGACCCAATTTACCAGATTTATAAGTTTTGTTTGAATCAAAACTTTGTTTAAGTATCTTATCTTTGTTTGTAAACCAAAGATCAGTCGAAAAAAACTTTTCACTCAACGAATATTTACAATGATTTAAAATATTTGTATTGTATTTACAGAATACACAAAACTTCTTATCTTATGATAAATATTAATGTACAACAGAATGGTCAAGGTAAACTGTTAAATTTTGCATAGTAGGCCTATTAATAGAACTGTGGTAAAATTGCTTTGAATGAGTGTTTTAGACATGGTCAATTTCCTTTTTCATTATGTTCTCTAATTGCAAAGACCCGAAGCATAGATTTAAAGTTATAAACAATAATCGCAACTTTTATGCAATTGTAAGGATCAGTGATCAGGTATTTAAATCATTTAAATTAAATGTGGATTTTATTACTAAATATTAAAAAGACATCCATTTCTATTTTGAATTGGAAACTTATCATGATGGTATTAAATGGCAAATATTTAATTTTATCATTTAAATTTATAATTTCCAATATTACCTTTGGGCAAAATTCATTGAATATCATTCAAAATAAAACAGCATTCTCTGGACTACACGTATTGCATGGTATAGACTCACAGATGGGGCGTTTATTTTGAAGGGTATTCAAAGAATATGGGTATATTGAATCTTGCTAAAAAGTTATTATATAAAAAGTAACTACGCGTAAATAATATTTTTAAATCAAAATTGATTACGAATTTTTTATGGAAATATTAACATGACGTAAACTCATGTCTGTAATTTATCACAAATTAATAATTATTTTCTTAATGTTATGCATGTTAATGAGGATTTAGATTTCGGTTTATATTAATTATAGAAAATTTATTATATTTCTGATCTATTAATTAATTTTTATAAGTCATTAATTCAGTAAAGATTTTAAAAATCAAATTCAGCATTAATTCAAAATAAATTATAAGCCAAACAAAAATCTGTTTATTAGTTATAACGCAATTTAAGACAAGAATTATGCTATTTATACGTGATTTACAATTATTATGCAATAATAGGACATAAGTTATGTCATATTAATGTCAACACATTCTTGTAATTCTTATTTTTTATGGAATTCTTGTCTTTAATGAAAAATAAATTGCAATTTCTATATTATATCTATTTTAATATATCATTATTGGTTATGTTTGTAAAAATATTTAATATAAAATTTAAATTAACATTGATTATAAATTAAAATAATAATTACAATAAAATAAATCATAAAATAGTATCAAACAAGTAGGCAATAGTACTAACAGTAGGAACAAAATAAATAGTGAATTTGCACTTGTATTTCATGTATATTATTGCAAATATCAGCAAAAGTCCTTTCGATACCAGAAAATTAAATTCACACAAAAAACAAAACTAAAAATAATTAATTTTGCGGTTAAAAATGCAGAGTTTGAGAAAAAGGCATTTTCTGGATCTAAATTATAACAAATAAATCAAATGTAATTTTGTACTCAAAAAAATGCACTTCAATTGCAGAAAACATACATTTATTCTGACAGTCACTGACAGTGAAATCTTAAAATTGATATTTTTGAACAAACAGTTTAAAAAGTGCTCAGTTTTTTCTCCTGTTGTTAGAGTAGTCGTCGGTTTCAGCGATTACTTGACTTTCGATTCGAAACTCTTTTAATGAATAAATGAATGTTTTTATTGTTGAAAACTATTAGTTATTTGGTTCACAAATGAATAATCGAAAGTCAAGTAATCGCTGAAACCGACGACTCTTTCGATCAACGCTTTGATCGCAAACGCGTTCGAAAACACTGTCGGATGACTCGTCACGTGACCAGAGCCGCAGCCGTACTCGAAGGTCGCGAAGCCCGACAAATACGACGCTCGCCGACGACAGACACATCAACGGCCGTCCAATCGCAACGCAGTCTCCGCGCGCGCGTCGGGCGCAGAAGTGGCGCGGCGTCAACGCGCCCGCAAAGTGTCGCCGCGCTTTGCAGACCCCGCTCTCCAGCACTCGGAACGCCGTGTCGTCCGCCGAACACGTGATCGACGTGTCGATGGGATGTGAAGGCAGACACGTGACTCTCGGCATCGGCGCGCGCGCAGGAACGCCAAGTCAAAGCCGAGAGAGAGCTGAGAGATTGTCATATAATGAGGGATTAGATTTCGGTTTATATTAATTATAGAAAATTTATTATATTTCTGGTCTATTAATCAATGTTTATAAGTCATTAATTCAGTAAAGATTTTAAAAATCAAATTCAGCATTAATTCAAAATAAATTATAAGCCAAACAAAAATCTGTTTATTAGTTATAATGCAATTTAAGAGCGGAATTATGCTATTTATACGTGATTTACAATTATTATGCAATAATAGGACATAAGTTATGTCATATTAATGTCAACACATTCTTGTAATTCTTATTTTTATGGAATTCTTGTCTTTAATAAGAAATAAATTGCAATTTCTATATTATATCTATTTTTATATATCATTATTGGTTATGTTTGTAAAAATATTTAATATAAAATTAACATTGATTATGGATTAAAATAATAATTACAATAAAATAAATCCTAAAATATTATTAAACAAATATGCAATAGTACTAACAGTAGGAACGAAATAAATAGTGAATTTGGACTGTATTTCATGTCTATTATTGCAAATCTCAGCAAAAGTTCTTTCAATACCAGAAAATTAAATTCACACAAAAAACAAAACTAAAAATAATTAATTTGCGGTTAAAAATGCAGAGTTTGAAAAAAGGCATTTTCTGGATCTAAATTATAACAAATAAATCAAATGTAATTTTGTGCTAAAAAAATGCACTTCAATTGCAGAAAACATACATTTATTCTGACAGTCACTGACAGTGAAATCTTAAAATTGATATTTTTGAACAAACAGTTTAAAAAGTGCTCAGTTTTTTCTCCTGTTGTTAGAGTTTTCACATCCACTCGAAAGAGAGTTATTTGTTTTGAGTCCAGTAGTAGTGATAAATCACATAAAACTCTGGTCGACGTGATGTACGGCTTCTCTACACCGCTGACTAAGAACTTAACAGAATATTCTGTATTATTCTGTATACACCACTGTATACAAGAGCACTAGAGTATAGCCGCACAACATAGACATCGATTCTTTCACTCTCTTTCCATGATTGCCATACATTTGAAACATTGATAAATGTATAATAGATTTGTATATTTCCGCTATAATTGGGTTTTGCGATAAAATAGTGACAATTATACAGATTCTAAGTCAAACTCATCCGCAAGAAGTCATTCACTGTTAAAGTATTGGCTCATTAGAGAGAAACCAAATTACAACACCCGATGACATATCAAACATCTCAAAAGATATTTACTTTTCGCAGTCAATGATTGCTTCATTACTGTAACTGTTTGTTGTTTTGTATTTTTAGTTAATTTATTATTTGCTTTTTCTCTTGTTATTCGTTTGGCCAAAACTTTTGTCTCTTATTTTGTGATTTTTCGATACATTTAATGCAAATTCATATTATGTATAATCAAATTGCGATCTCAATTGAGTTTAAGCTGCGAAGAGATACTCAATAAGTTATTTTTCGGTTCATTTCACTTATAGCC